AGAGAGAGAGAGAGAGAGAGAGAGAGAGAGAGAGAGAGAGAGAGAGAAAGATTCTGTGTTTGCCTTCGACAGAAACGAAAGCACGGGCGATAAAGAGAGAGCGAGTGAACGAGACAGAGGTGGAGGTAGAGCTAGCCGTTGTATGGAAGCGTCAGCACACACGTTTGTATGGTAGGTTGGCCGACAATAGGCATTGTGCACCCGCCATAACCAGGAACCGAACGCGACAGCACCACGCCGGCATTGTCCGAGTGTCAGCCAGCATCCTTCTCCTCTCTCGCTTTCCCTCACTCACCCTGGCTCACTCGCGCTCACCCTATATTTCGTTCATTTCGTTCCACTCTTCATAAATCCCTTCTTTTCTCATTTACTCGCTTACCACGACCCACGTCTTTTTAACAATTTGACCGAGCCGGGTCGGCACGGATACGAGTCGGACTAAGTTACCTATGGCTGCGATGACTCAGATTCGATCTGTATAGTGTTAAAGCATTTTACGAATCGCAAGTTTATCGTGACACAATCATACATGTGACTGATAATGCGATCTCAAAAGAGGGCGGAACCAAGCGGAGGCTGATAAAGACTTTCGGATATATAAAGGAAATTTTAGTGATCGAATATACAGTTTGGTGTGGTTCATATTAAAGTAAAGGTTCTAAAAGAACGTGACTTTTTCACACAGCAAGATGAAAGGTAATTCTTGTTTCTCTGGTGAAGTACGATCGGTATTTTATTTCGATATGTCGGAATCTGTTCGCAAGATTTTCATGTAACTCGTGTGATATCAGAAATTCTTGGCAAAAATTTAGTAATATAAATATCCAGGATAGAGTTTATGAAATTTTATCACTTGTCGTTAACTCTCGAATTTATTTTCACAATTTAGCCATACTTTCTGTCGCCCTTCTGATGTGCCTGGCTATGGTTTACTCTTATACCGAGGCGAATTTCGAATTAGACTGTCCAATTCCGAACAAAGAAAACGCAACTCTTCTTCCTCACCCGACCAACTGCAACAGTTACTTCGTCTGCGAGACTGGCGAACCGATCCCGATGACGTGTCCCAAGGGACTGCACTTCAACCCTAAACTCTCCGTTTGCGATTGGCCGTGGCGAGCGCACTGCAAAGCAAGAGGTTAATGGATTTATTCGTTATAATGACCAGCACGTCATTAATATAATCGTATAACATTACACGAACATTATCTTGTTGTACTATAGAGTCATCGCATAGCTTACACGAGCAATTTTTGCGTATACGCTATGTAACTAATAAACGTCTATCCATTATCTGAACTTATCTCGTGCTTATATTATGTAATTCAATTTCCCTTTATTACGTAAAATGGCACGGCGCTATCGATGCCAGATGAAGATTGATGAAGACTGCCCAATCTGACGATAACCGCTCGCGATAAGTCAATTAGTTCCGTAGTTTACGCAGCCAAGTATGTAACTCCATTAGCTATAGACATAGATAAATTTCATTTGGCTCGACGAGGCGCAACATACTTCACATACATATGTAAAAGAGGATTCCTGCGGTTAGCAATATACAAAGTGGACTACATGGGGAGTTACAAGCAATTTTCTCGAGAACCATAAAGGATACCGATCCGTTTTCCCGGTTTTTATATTTCAATGCGACCTTTTACATGATAGATGTGACACCGACCCCTCCAAAGAGATCCTCTATTTTTTTAAATGGTTAGGCATATAAATTTTGACTCTCTCTCTTTTTCTCTCATTTCCCTCGCAGAATCCAACATCAATACATCCGTTTACTATATACGATAAAAGAAAATTCCAATATGAAATAAAGATTATGTCTTTTGTAGTAGTCCTCTATAGTGAGAAAAGTATTCGTGATATTTGACGTGGGGAATCCTGCAAAATTATATATTATTTTAATTGCGCAAAAGTAATTCGACGCGTATATGTGTTGACAAAACATCGCAGCCGGATATCATTCGACATGAAGCATTTTGTAGATAGGCTCGAACGTGAAAGTTAACTTTGTTGGTGGAATACGACCTTCGTACCTCCGGGAGGTGCGTCGGATATTGGCGCTAACTCTCGCCTTTACGAGCGTAACGGAGAAACTATCTCGGCGCATTTCGAAACCGAAGGTAAGTGTTTGGCATCGAGATATATATCTCGCATCAAGTGATGGCGGAGATCTTGCCGTATAGCGCGATTGCACCCAGCCGCAATTTAACAGCAACAGTTTAACGGGCAGTTTGTATTGTCGAACCGACAAGTGCGTTTTACGGGGGATGTAACGCGCGGAAGCGAATGAACTTGGAATAGTAATTGCGCGCATATGGACGGGACGGGCGGGCCATGAAGAATTTACTACTTAATCGTTCGCGCTTTTCCGGAATTGCCGCGTTTAGAGGAACTCTTTCGCACAACGACGGCCATTTAGGGTAAGTACTTGGGAATCAGGTTAAAAACTCTTAAATATTTCTTCGTAGATACATAGAGTACGTTTCGTTCCGTGTACGTCTTTCAAATATAATAGACATTTGTTTTTTCACGTCCTTTACATTTTTGCAAGTTCGCATATCAATAATGAAAGTACAGATTGAATTAACACACTTCGTAAAATTCTGAATTTTTGAGAAATTGAGATGAATCGTATGCAGGGAGTAGAAAAAGCGAGAGGAGGAACGAGAGGAATGATGAGAGGAAGAGGAAGAGCAAGGAGAGAGGTGACAGGAGCGCGAGGAAAGACCTCATCACCAGAGCGGTGACACTTAAATTCCCTATTTCGTTTTGAGCTCAATGCTCCGACAGAGTTTGTCGCCTTCATCGTGTGCGTCGCTGCCATGTCGCTCTCCGTCCGTCAGTTAATGTCGTATTCTCCTTGTAAAAAGGAGAACGGGAGAAAGAGGCGCGCGAAAGGCAAGGAACGAACGAACGAACGAGAGAACGAGGAAACGAAGGAACGAACCGGCGGACAGAGAACTACGGCAGCAAACGGATCGAGACTTCTTATCGGTACGAGTCAGCTACCGGCTGCCAGCCAGCTCGCTTACGCGCATCTCGTATGTTCCTTTTCAACCCCCGTTTCTACTTCCTGTGCTCTTCTCGCGCTCGCCCGCCCGGGGTACCTTTTTCTTTCGTCACTTCCGCACCGGCTTCTCGCTTTACTTCTGCCGCTTCCCACCTTGACACCCCGCCGAAATGTATCCGGTCGGCGGGAACGGCGACGAGGGCCGCGCGCTGTTAATGGATTCTATTCTGTGTCAAATTGGAAACCGATTGGTTGCCGTCGTTGTCATAAGATGCGCCACGAGAGATAGGTGTGTACCAATGATCGATCCCGGGAACGTTTCATCGCTTCTCTCATCTTCGCCGGAGCGCGAGAAAACCTATAATTGCCGAGACACTGTCCTTTTGAATCCCGCTGGCAAATGTAGACGCCCGGGTGCTATTTACGATCGCGTTTATCGCACCGCCGCGGCGCTGCACGGATATAGACGCGCTTCTAACTGTGGCATAAAAGATCAAAGATAATGAGATATCGCGTGTTACGATTAACACGATTCTTCAGCACTGTCGCGCCTGAGCTATTACGCGCGGTGGCTTCTTGAAAGGCTGATAACGATACATCCTCGCGGGATTGTATTTACTTCTCGCGCAAAATATGTAAATACAAAGTTCATAATTATAAGTTCGTGTTACAGCGCGAACTGTGCATTTAACTTTTACTCATTCGCGCCGTTCTCCCGGCGCGTTCCTCGGAAAATAAAGGAAATTTGGAATACATAATCCGACGCTTAATTTATGCAGCTTGTTTTACCAGGTGGTACGTTCTGTCAAGGTGTTACGCGCGGCAGGAGGCGAGGGCAAATTAATAGCCAGACATTTTTCCAAGTAAGGAAGATAGAGAATGTAAAAGTGAGGAAAGAAAAGGAGGATCGCGCGTAAGAAAGAAAGAGAGAGAGAGAGAAAGAGAGAGAGAGAGAGACGCCACGGCGATTATAAAACGCTCAGATGGCGTGCAAAGAAAGCGAAGGTCTCCGTTGCATGAGACGTGCAGCAAGCTTAGGCTTTGCCCGTCAGCAGATTAGAGTTTTGTTGCGTGTCTCTTTGGACTTGTACATTTATTACACGGCTAGTAATGTTTATTGAGTAGTATTATCTCTTTTTAATCACCAACATTAAAGTACGTCTCTCTCCCTTTTCTCCTTTTATCTATGCTGTTAAAAATTGATGAAATTCGTGGTTAAAGAACGCGAATTAAAAAAAATTTAATAAAAGTGATCGAGCGATTTGAAAATCTCACACATCTTTCGTTAGTTAGGAATTTAATTTATGGATAGGAAAATTGCTTCAAGTAGACCCCATTGACTTAAGTGTCTTTGTTAAAGTTTAAGGATGTCAGTCGATTGCATATTATGCCGAAACATAAGCGCCTCTATTGCGCTTATGTTTCTGTTCTAATTCTAAATTCGTACAATCTACGTTAGTGAGAGTTTTAATCGAAAGAGTCGCGACTAACCCCCTCCCTCCTCTCCATCTTCTCTTCTCCCTCTACAGATAATAAATTATTACATATTCTGCGGGACATACCGGACGCAATCTGGCGCGCGACATAAAATGATCGGATACTTTGCACAATACATTTGTGTCAATAGGATTGTACGTGTGCGTGCTTTATTTATGATGCATGCGCATAGAATGTACGAAGCGCACAGAAGTTAAGAAGCGAGATACCATAAATCTGGAGCCTTGCGAAGTAACGTATTCCGAAGGAAGAATGTACCGCGAGCGCGATACAGGGATGCGATGTGTGTGACAGTAACATTGCGGATGAAATGGCATTTTCGCTCGGCACGGAAAAACCCACAGAATTACTTTGCGTAAGCACACGGACGATGAACATACCGTGGTGTATTATTTCGTAGCGTTCTTAGGCTACGTAGCGCAATTTCATGCGTTCGCGTGCGGTCAAGGTCGTGCAAATTGCAAATAGAAAATTTCTCTTTCCGATTTTCTAACAGCGTTGTCGCGGCTTTACGAGAAAGCAAAAGCGCCGATCGGCCGTTTCGCCAGATACGAGTTTCGTGAATAGAGTTTTTGGGCAATTTCCGCGAGAATACGGCTTTTTCAGAATTCCTCGATGACATGAGCTATCGGAAATACTATTTTTTGGAAGACACGATTTTACGGAAATGACAAAAAATTCTATTTTCCCATTGTACACGATAACACGCTCACGTCTGCGCCTCCATTCCTTTTCGGAGTGATTGTGTAAATTCATTTTGTGATCGGGTTATCAGAAAAAAATTCCACCTAGGCGTTCTCGGGCCTTTAAAATTCGCACATTCGGCCGAGATTATGAAGATTCGGCGACGTATTTTTCCTCGCGCCGCGTCGATCGACAGAGCGCAGGCATCTTTTTGTTCGTCATATTACGAGATGGAAAAGTAGAGTGGAAAGCGGGCCAAACGGCTGGCAGTCGTCTTCCGGGGGGTGTCCCCGAGGAAATCAAATTATCGATATATATGCGGGGTCGATGCGCACACGTAATGTATATATGACGGAGTGCAGGCCGAGCACAGGTGGCCGACTGATATTGGTTTTGCTTCCGGATTTTGCGGACACCCCTTATAGCAGTAGACGCAGGCGAGACTCGCCACGAAGGGCAATTACCCCACTAAATATTCACAAGTTCATTACGAGCGGAGTTGGACGCGCATTCACCCTCTTCCCCTTTGCTTCATTCTCTCGACCTTTACCTCTTGTCTTTACTTTCCCGTTCGACGAACGTAAGTAACATTCCCGAAATGCATTCAGCTCCCGAGAGCACTGCGTCGCCTCTGCGCCTCACGTCGCGAGTGAATGGTTGAGTTTTGATTTTGGAAGTTGCAAAGATCGTTCTTAGAATTAAATCTACTTTGCTCCTACTACGTTGTAGAATTCAAGATTTAACATAAGGTTACAATTTTTTTATTTCGATTCGGGTAATGAGAATAATATAAGAGTTTAGTTTGATAAAATCTTGAAGAGTATCACAGAAGTTTCATACATTTTTAATTTGCTGCTTTGATACCGTCATAAATGTCGCTGCCGCAGTACGGAAAACCGAGATATCTCATCGGCGCGGAGAACGACATTGAAAATTGTAAAATAACTCTCTTATCTCAATCAGATAGGGATTAACTTTATACGACTTTCGTGTATCAGGTTTTTATATGTCACCCTTTATATGCATACGTGGTTGAAAATCCAGAGGCCGCGGCCGTTCTCAGTGCGTTGCTCGAACGCGCTGCGAGGTTTCCTACAAAA